TGTATGCTTACAGCTGTTTCTGTATTACCTTTACTAAATATTCCTCCCAGGGCCTCTGAAATTTTCATTGTAATTTTGTTCTGTTCTGGACTCTTGTATCTGTCTACTGAGTTCTGGGTGGTGTTGCCATGTGTGTCAATCTATGGTAGTTTGCTGTTCTTGTTGGTTTTCAGTCCAAAGAACTCCCTTTAGGATGTTCTGAAGTGCTTAGTTGGCTTTGACAATGTGTCTTAGCTTCTGTTAATTCTGGAATGTTTTGATTGCACTGTCGTATTTGATTGACAGCTTTGCTGGGTAGACGATTATTGGTTGGCAGCTTTTTTCTTTTAGGGTTTTATATATGTCTTCCCATTGCCTTCTTTCCTGCATGGTTTCTGCTGAGCGATCAGAGTTTAATCTGATTTGCTTGCCTTTGTAAGTAACACTTCTCTTTTCCCTAGCTGCTTTCAGGTTTCTCTCCTTGTCTTTTTGAGAGATTTTAGAGAGCTTGATTATTTGTCTTGGTGATTTTCTTTTGGAGTCTTTCCTTCCTGGGGCTTGTTCTGCTTCTTGAATGCTTATTTTCTCATGCTTCTGGATGGTAGGGAAATTCTCTTCCAGAAACTCTTGAAATATCTCCTCTCTCGAATTACGTGATTCTTCCTATTCTGGAATGCCAATATTTCTTAAATTACTCCTCTTCTTGTTGTCCAACATGAATTTTAGACTTTCTTCATATTTTTTAAATCGTTTTTTCTGCTTGCTCTTCTGTCTTAGCAATATTGAGACGTTTGTCGTCCAGCTCACTGGTTTTTGCTTCTATCTCTTCAATTCTACTCCTTTGTTCTTTCAGTGTTTTGTCCGTTTCTGATGGTTTATTATCATCTGGACCTTTTTTTTTGCAGGTTTTGAATGGTTCCCAATCTTTCTTATTTGATTGTTCCTGTGACGCTTTCTTGACTTCTTCCTTATTTTTTTCAACCCCTCTGTGGAGCATTTGGATGTACTTCAATTTCATTCTCCTGCATTCTCAGGCAGTTCCAAAGTCTGCTCTCCTTCTAAATATGAAGTCTAGGTCTACTTGTAGCTCATTTGTCTCAGTTTCTCTTTTTTTGTTTGTTTCTTGGGTATTTTCAATAATTAGATGTGTTTTCAGTAATTAAATGAATGTATGTTGCTGTATTATTAAGCTTACTGAGTGCCTCCTAGTAAATGTTATCAGAGATAGGCTTCCCTTTTAATGTCTCTTATTACTCAACTGCAAGTAATTTTAGCAAGTATTGGCTATCTATGTAAGGTATTGTTGTTGTGAAGTGCTGTCGCGTTGATTCCAACCCATAGCGACCCTGTATAGGGTTTCCAAGGAGCAGCTGGTGAACTTGAACCGCCAACCTTGCAGTTCAAATGGCTTTGCAGTCTGGCACATTAACCCACAGCACCACACCAGGACATAGCAGCTGGTATTGGCTCTTGCCTAGATGGTGGGATAGTATAGGTTGTGCTTGTAGCTTGGCTATATGCCACAATTGCTGTCTCTTTTTGGGTAACATAGGGAGGAAAGCTCTCACCCCAAGGAAAAAGTAGGACCAAAAAGACAAAAACAAAACAAAACAGAAACAAAAGTAAAAACACTGTAGCAAATTAGTCCAGCAGCCTTTGCTTAGCAGGTCAGTGTGTATGCACAGCAGAAACCTCCAGGAGTAGGTGGGAGTGTACACTCACTCAGGCACCCCCTCTAGTCACTGCCCTAGAGGTGTGCAGACAAAGAATGAGAAATTAGTGGAAGAAAGATTGTTCACATTTTTATCTCTGTCAGTCAGGTCTCTGTGTATTTACAGCATCCTTCTCAAAATGACTGTGCCCTTCTCCTTTTAGTGTGTTTTTAACAGTTTTTGTCTTTACACACTCACACTGTTCTTGTATATAGTAGCTGGTGTTGCTTGGCTCTTGCCTTTTATGTTGGAGTTTTACAGGGTGCAAATACTCTGTGTATACAGAGCTGTTGTCGCTTGTTAGGTAAGGCAGGAATAAAAACTACCCAAGTAGGAAAGGCAACTTCAGGGCTAAATCCCAAAGTCAGACATCATAAGAACCCACCAGAGAATTAGCCTCTGGAGCTGACTGGGACTTTCAGCTACTTCCTCCGTGGGAAAATTGTACTCTGTGGGTGCAACACTGGATGCTTTTCGGGGTGTGCTCCTACCCATGTGAAGATACCCGGGCTGGGCATTGAGGGTGTGATAGGGAAGAGCACAAGAGCAGAAGGGGAATAAAACATTTATACCTCTTTTTCCGTAAATCCTGGGTAGTTTTCATACTGTAGCAGGCTGGTTGTAGCCCCGCCCTCCACTAAGACTGCTGGCTGACTGTAGTGTCAAATTGCTATGTTTACTATCACCCCTTCAAATTTCTCCACTGGGCCCCCAAAACGATTTCCCTTTACTTTATATTAAATTTAAAGTTCTGGAACTGTCCCGGCAAAGTGTTTTTCCTGGTTTTTCCGTGCCTCCACCGAAGAGACGTTGCTGAACCCCTCCACTTATTCCCCCCCCCCATATGTGGTTTTATCACTGAAATGATTTGATTTACTGTAAAGTAGATACCACTTAGGAAAGAATAGGAAAATCAGAATATCATGACTAATGTCAGAGCCTAAAGCTTAAACTTACAACTTAACAATTCTGATTTAATTCTGAGCAAATCCTTTTTTTCCCCCCAGTCTGATGAATCAGTGAAAAAAAAAAAAGGAATCCTGCTGTGGTGCTGTGGGTTAAGGTGCTAGATTGCAAAGTCTGTTTGAACTGCAAGGTCAGTGGTTCAAGCTCACCAGCTACTCCTCGGAAACCCTATACACAGTCACTGTGGGTCAGAGCCATCTCAACAGCACTTAACAACAACAACAAGACTAGTAATGTAGTGAGGGGAATTGGGTACCTTCTCTACTCATAGGAAAATATCAATGGTGGTGGTCCCTCATTCTGGTGTCATAATTTAGTACCTATCTCAATGTTTAGCTATGGTGGTAGTTAAATTCAATACATGTTGCATAGAGATAAATGGAAAAAACAAGTAGTAGGTAGAGAGACACACAGACATTAAATAGAAGCTGCTGATAAAAGCTATATAACATGCCTAAATTTACTGTACAAATTGATAAATAGATGGTTAATAATTATATTTCCTTTAATATACTCAGTAAAAGTTGTCTGCTCATTGAAAAACATGTAATCATTAATAAAAATATTTCTTTAGGTTAAAGATTGAGAAAAATCATAAATATACTATATTTTAAGGATGTACACACAAATAGCTATATATTTTTGTTTTTCAGAGTTGGAGGGATATCCGGTATATTCATGTCTCATTGATAATGGCAGAACATCCACCACTACTGGATACAACTCAGATTTTAAGTAGTGATATTTCTCTTCTGTCTGCCCCTATTGTAAGTGCAGATGGAACACAACAGGTAAGGAAACAGAAATGTTTTTTTCTTATGTCTATAAGTCTATTAATTTCTTTCAGAAGAATGTAGATTTAAGGCAGAATGTGGAACCTAACAGTGGGTTCCTCACATTAAATATTTTTAATTCTTAAGATATTGCTTTAGTTTTATAAGACTATAAAATAATGGAGCTATTTTTGAAATCACTTTTTAAATGTCCTAACAAATGTTCAAATTTTTTGTGTGCATATTTGATACTTTAGTTGACACTAAAGTTGTTTTTGTTTTTCTGTAGACAAGCAATGGATTAGTCCATATTTTTAAAAATAAGCTTAATAATTATTATAGTTCATTACTTCAAGTCCTTATAAAATCATAATTATGAAATAAAATGACTGCTTATATAATACTAAAACTTTATATTCATAATTTCCCCCCTGTTTTTCTCCTCACCAAACTCCCCCATCCCAAAAGCAAATATACAGTTTCTGAAAACGTGGACTATTTTTCTCTCAATCCAGAGCATGAAAGATGTAGTTCTCTAATTGTATTAGTTCATCATTCCCACAATAATCCTAAAAGAATGGAAATGATGGGCTTTCATAAGTATTTGTTATGGGGCCAGGCAATGAATATGCTTAATTCTCAGAACTACTAGATATTTTAGTATTAGAGATTAGGAAACAAAGACTAAGGATGTAATGAATAATGAGGAGGGAAGAGAAGGAACATTTTGTAATAACAGTCAAAGAATGTTTCTTTCTGTGTGTAAATCTTTCTTTGATCATTTGTAATAGTGGACTCATACAGTATTTGTGCATTTGTGATAGACTTAATTCACTGAGCATAATGTCCTCCAGGTTCATACATGTTGTAAGGTGCTTCCCAGATTCGTTGTTCTTTTTTATTTATTTATTTTTTGTTCTCAAACAACTGCAAGGTATTTATTAATGGACCCAAGGGAGTTAACTTTGTATCCTAGCTTGCACATATCAAGGTTAAATAATTGCCTTGTTTCCGTCACATAATGTTCAATTTGTGTTTTGATGTAGTTAACTGTCATTGAGTCGGTTCTGACCCCATAATGACCCTATACAGCATTTCTGAGGAGCAGCTGTTGAACTTGAATTACCTACCTTATGATTCAAACCAACTTTACAGTCTAGCACATTAACCCACAGCACCTCAACCAGGACCCCCAGTGTAAATATCACTGCAGACATTTTATCAAATCTAGGATTCTACATATTTCAGAAATGGAGAAAAGTTTGCACCTTTGATGATACCATGGAGACAAAGGCAACTCTGCTGTTTATGTTGATAACTCAGACTTGTTTCATTTGAAAGTTCTCTTGCAGTGTTTCTTATAAAAACGGTGGCATTTAAAACTTTTCCTTTTCAAAACCTGCAATTACATGAATAGATGTAATATAAAAATGTGGACTCTAATTGATCCCATTATTTTCCTGTAAAACGATCATGACAAAAGGTTAGGACAGTCTCCTCCCATCTTACAAATGTCCAAGGAAAATCCATCTTATTTAAGAAAGTTGGTCTGAATTTACGTATGTTAAACTCTAAAAACAAGAACACCAACCATTTGAGGCTATCAGAGCATTGCATCACCCTAATAAAACTGTAGGTTTTATAACATACACTAAAGTGTACAGAAAGAGCTAATTTCAATGCTCCTTTTAAAGAACTTATTTTACACCTATTATACCACACCGTATGCCATTTTTAAACATTGACAAGTAACTCCCTAGTAAGATTCTTAAGCAAAAACAAAAGCACTCACCTCATTAGAAACAAGATTCACTATTCACTTATTGTCGTCAAACATTATTGCACTTTTACTTTCATAATTGGACAATGCATTCATGACACAATCTGCAGACAACTACTGTTTTAACAGACAAAGAACACTTTTAAGTAAACATGCCTGTCCTAAACTGTTAATTAGGCATGAATTTTACAAACATTACTTATATTAACAGTAACGGTGGAACTGGAGAGTGTTGTGTCTTCTCCAAGCAGCCCAGCAAGAACCACCAATAGTGTGGTAGTACTTGTGGCCCTTCCCAGGCCACAGCTCTTGCAGCCTGCAGATGTCAAACCATACATCTCTTTGGGCTTGTCAAATGACTTGGTGATCCACTGGGTATCAGGATTTCTTCTGATAGCTTATGGAATGGATCAATGAGAATAACTTCAAAAAATTTATATGTGGAATCTTCATCAGCCCAGTAATAATTCAGGACTCTTAGGGCCCCCACAGTGGCATCCAGCTTGCTCCTTAGCCACAGACTGAAGGCTTCTAGCAAATTTCAGCTGGTTAACACCATGATGGACAGGCTTGCCATAGGTTGCACCTTTAGGTACTGGGCATTTGCGGCCACCTCTGCACATTGTGAATCCGATTGATGACATAACCTTGCTTGGCCTTGTATCCCCAGTCTGCGTGCTTTATCTTGTCGGGTGGGACAGGGGGACCCTGTGCAGTGCAGAGAGCTGGTGGTACTGCCAATAGCAGACCTGCAGAAGAAATCGTATCACATCAGACTGCTTTTTCCTCCATAGTTCCTGGATGTACTTGTAAACACCCATTTTGGGAAAGCTCGTTATTCTTTTTTAGCAGTGCATAGTATTTAATTTTGTTTGTACCATAGTTGAGTTATCCATTCATCCACTGATGGACATTTAGGTTGTTCCCAGCTCTTTGCTTGTGAATGAATGAATGCTTCAGTGAACATCGATGTGTATTTATCTGTTTGTGTCACAACTTTTTCTTAAGGATATATACTTAATAGTGGGATTGCTGGGTCAAACTGTATTTCAATTTCCAACTTTTTAAGAAAATGCCTTATGATTTTACACAGTCATGGGAAATTTTTACTGTTTTACTGTCACACCAGTGGTATATGAGAGTTAAAATGTCTCTATACCCTTACTGACATTTGTTGTTTCCTGCCTTATGGAGGTTTGCTGTTACTGTTGGGTTGAGATGTTTTGATTTGTATCTGTCTGTTGACTGTAGGATCAGCACTGGACTGCGAACTGTAAGGTCAGCAGTTCAAACCCACCAGTTGCTCCTCTGAAATCCTATACAGGATCATTATGAGTCTGAATTGACTCAGTGGCACTTAACAGCAACAACAGTAATTAATTAGAGTTCTTGTGTGAAGCTGTAGAATAAGCATTGGATTGCTAACCACAAGGTCAACAGTTTGAGTGCTCTTGTGGTTTGCAGTCCGGTGCTTAGCCTACAAAGCCACCATGCTCTTCTTCGGTAATGTTTTGCTTATTTGGGGGTCTATTTCCTTTCCATATAAAGTTAGTGATAGATTTTTCCATCCTTAAAGAATGGTGATGGAATCTGGATCAGGACTACATTACTTCTATAGATTGCTTTGAGTAATATTTGACATTTTCACAGTGTTAAGTTGTCCTTTCCATAAGCATGGTATGCGCTTCCATTTATGCAGGTCTCTGGGTTTCTTGTATTAGTGTTTTGTAGTTTTCTTTGGGTTTCTTGTAGTAGTGTTTTGTAGTTTTCTTTGTATAAGTGTTTTGTATGTCTGGTTATGTTTATTCCTAAGCGTTTTATCTTTTTTGATAGCTGTTTTAAATGATACAGTTTACATTTTCAGAAGTCTCTTTATTGGTATAGCAGAATCTGAGTTTTGTATATTGATCTTCTATTGTGCCACTTTGAATCTCTCCATTCGTTCCAGTAGTTGTCTTGCTTAGCTGAGTCTCTAGGATATTCTATGTTGTTGTTGTTAAGTGCCGTCGAGTTGATTCCGACCCATAGCGATCCTATATAGGGTTTCCGAGGAACCGCTGGTGAAAACTGACCTTGCTGTTCAAACCGACTTTGCAATCCAACACATTAAGCCACAGCACCATGCCAGGACTTCAGGATACATTATGTATAGGATTATATCATCTGTAATAGGAATTAACAACAACAACAACAAATAGGAATAGTTTTACTTCTTTCTTGCCAGTATTGCTTTCTTTTATTTCCATTTTTTGCCTTGTTGCTCTGCTAGAATTTCCAATAGAGTGTTGAGCAGGAGTGGTGATAGAGAGAGTATCTTTGTCTGGTCCTGCTCTCAAGGGAAATGCCTTGAGTTTCTCTGTTGAGAATGAGCATTAGTTGGCCACTGAATTTTCAAAATTGCCCTTAACTATATTGAAGTGTTCCCTACTACTCTTTATTTCCTCTGAGTATTATCAGGAATAGGTGTTGGCTTTTATCAAGTGCCTTTTTTGCATTTATTGTTACTATTTTATTTATGTTGACTGTTTTTCTATATTGATCTAACCTTGCACACCTGGTATGAATCATTCTTGGTTATGATGTATTATTTATTTTGATATGGTGTTGCATTCTATTGGCTACGATTTTGTTGAGGATTTTTGTATCTATGTTCATGAGAGATACTGGTTATATTTTCTTTTTTTGTATTTGCCTGACTTTGATATTGTGTTATGCTTGCTTTATAAAATGAATTTAGAGTTGTTGTTGTTAAGTATCTGGAGTCGGTTCCGACTCATAGCGACCCTGTACAGGGTTTCCGAGGCTATAAATCTTTACAGGAGCAGAACCTCATCTTTGTCCCATAAACAGCTGGTAGTTTTGAACTGCCGACCTTGAGGTTAGCAGCCGATTCATAAGGAGCAGCTAACTGGTAGCGTAGCGGTTAAGAATCAGGTTGCTGACTGCAAAGTTGGCATTTAGAAACTACTAGCTGTTCCGTGGGAGAAAGATGAGGTTCTGCTCCCATAAAGATCTGTAGCCTTGGAAACCCTGTGCAGGGTCGCTATGAGTCGGAACCGACTCCACGGCACATAACAGCAACAACAGCATCCTTCTAGCTGCTCCTTGGAAACCCTATATAGGGTTGCTATGGGTTAGAATCGACTCAACGGCACTTAACAACAAACAACAAATCCTTTATATAGGAATCGTGGTGTGGCGCTGCAGGATAGTGCGCTGGACCATAAGGTTTATGGTT